TCCCTCCCTCCTTCCTTCCTTCCTTCCTTCCTTCTTTCTTTTTAAATTTTATGTGTATGAGTGTATTGCCTGCATGTATGTGAGGGCACCCCTGCCGTGCAATACCGCAGAGGTCAGAAGAGGGCTTCAGATTTCCCTGAACTGGAGTTAAGGACGGTTCACAGCCGCCATGTGGAAATCGAACCCGGTGACTCTGGGAGCGGTCGGTGCCCTTAACCGCTGAGCCATGTCTCCAGCCCCAAGGGCCAGTGTACCTTTAACCTCATCTTCCTGTCCTTTACCGTCATACTGGTGCAGGACATACATTACTGCACATAGACAATTGGCCCCATGCACGCTCTGTGCTTAGGGTTATCAAGAATAGTGAGCTGAGTTACTTCTAACGATCTAATTGGCGAGAGCTCCCGCTAGTCTGACGCAAAGGACTGCGAAGCCCACGGGTTCGGCGTGCTTAGGCATGGCTTCCCCGGCCCCAAGCGGGACGGGTTCGGGTTCCTAAAACCTTCAAACTGAGGCCGCCTGCCTCGGACTGGGCAGGCCTGAGGACTTCTCCACGGCTCTCTTCTGACGTACCTTCGCGAATGCTGCCGCCGAAAGCTTGCGGGTGGTTAGAACACCAGGTCTTGCGTTTCCCTTTCTGATTCCTGAATCCAGCATCAGCAGACCCTTTCCCACGTGCCTCGAACGCGCCGGACCTCCCCCTAACCGGGGGCATCGCCGGTGCCATATTGGACCGACTGTGTTTGCGGAACTACAACGGACGCCGACAAAATACGTCACCAGACTGAACCAATCAATCGCCCAACTAGTGTGCGCTCGGAGCTCGACTACTCCGGCCTGTACTACTTCAGGCGAGAGGTGCCCGCGCAGCCTAGTTGGCGCCACCTGCAGCCCGGGAGGCCGAGCGTCATGGCGGCGATTTGTCCGCTTCCGGGGACCCCCGACCTGCCCACGCTGCGCTCCAAGTTACATGGACTGCTGCGGTTCCTAAGGGACGCTTTACCCATTTCCAACGCGCATACGGTAGACTTCTACACAGAGTCGGTGTGGCAGGAGCTGGTCGACATGCCCCCAGAGACTGTGCTGGCGACGCTGAGAAAGTCAGCGGCGGAGCCGAGTGCGGCGCGCCCCCTGCTGGGAGCCGAGGCGGGATCTGGTGAGTGGAAGGGAGAGCGGGGCGCACTGACTGCGCCCCCTGGTGGAGCGCGGCGGGAGGGCGGAGGGAGAGATGGGGCGGGTGCAGAGAAAGCAGGTGATCAGAGTAGTGCCGCTGGGCCAAGATCCCTCTGCGCCAGGACCCCTCTGGGTCTCGCCTCTGCATGTTGGCAAGTTTCCACAACTTAAGGAAATCAAGAAACAGGGAAGAGGTGTTCACTTAGTAATTCAGCAATAGCTTTTCGACTTGAGGGAAACTAGAAG